GATATAGAAATCTCAATTTAAAACTTTACGATATGCATAATCTCGCTAAAAGTATATCAAAATATTTATTTGATCAACATAGTTATAGAATATTATAAAGAAAAAAAGTCGACTTATGACAATATCTGTATTTTTGAATGTTAAAAAATTAAAATAAAATTTTACAAAATAGAAATTTATGAAATTTAAATAATAATAATCATATATGAAATTGATAAGGAGAATTCAAAAATGTTTAAATTTTAGCAAGATACTAATACAATGGATGAGAATATGATTTGTTAAAAATATGATTTAATTATGATTATAATTTTTTTAATTTGCATCATATGAAGTATGACATGATAATTAAGATATAAGTTAATTTTTAAAGATTTAAACCAATATTTAAATAGTATTTCAAAATAACTAGATAATTCAACACGTATTGATTAAATTTTAAAAATTGATATTCAATACTATGAGAAAGTGCCGCCATGAAAAGGACTATGATGCCCAAACAAACTGAAGGGTTCAAAATTTTTATTTACCCTAGGGGACGGCATAAATTCAAAGATCTTTGCCTCATAAATCCTTCCATCATTCTTCGTTCCCTCACCCAACACAAATAGCCCGATGTGATGCAATTTTTTTCTTCTCACATGAAGACACGTACGTTGAAAACAGTGTTGGGCTTGCACAAATACTCAGAAACAGAGTAGAGCTTTCTAATACAAGAAGGCCAACCTTCTTTCTCCTCTCTGGATGAGGAACAACATTGAGACATCCATCACTGAAATCTTCTGCATCACGTTTAATACTTGCCTACAAATGTGAAATACACTATCTGAAAAAATAGTATATATAATTTAGGAATGAAAAAGGAGTATAAACACTTTGCTAACCTCTAAATCTCGTATACCTTTCCAGATTTTGGTAACTTCTATTGGACTTAAACCAATGAGTTCATAGATGTCGTACAAAAAAAACATATAGTATTGGAGTTAAGCATATTATAACCAAAACAGTAAAGTTTTTATAAGCTTAATTTGTAGAAAGTCTCGAACTCAGGAACATTATTGAGTAATCACATCACTTTTTCTTCAAAGATTGCATAGTATAATTGATATATCAAAATTTCTTTTAAGAATATTTTATGAATGATTAGTGTTGTTTTTAAAGAATTGTAATTTTACTTTGGTAAGTTGGTTACTAAATCAAATGTTCTTGTGCGCTTAATGTGCATTTTCACATATTTATGGTTATAGATGTTGGTGTAAAGACGTCCGATGAAATTTTGTGAAACAACTTGTTCTTAACATGTGTCCTAAAAGGAGTTGAAGAAATTGTGTCGTTAAAATGGTAAAAAATAAGATTGTTCTTCAAACGTTAAGATGAAACTGTGAAAAAAAAGTACAATAGTTCTCTTGAAAGAGTCGAGTCTCGACTCTTTTTTTTTCTTTATTTCAAGAGAACTGTTGTACTTTTGAGTACTCCGGTTGGAGTGAAAAGATGCATATTGTTTTCAGAGACAACTTTGGTGAGTTTGAGATCTTTCTCTGTGAGATTCCCTGTCACCGTCAYAGTTAAGTTAACTGCCTCATGACTTGATATGTCCACGATCTCCTGCAAGATAATAAACAAAATTAAAAGAAAGAACAATAAAACAATCACCATTTCGAAAAGTGACCAGACCAATCAAAGCAGTCTACCTAAACAGAGTACTGAAAACAATCACCATTTCATACTGAAAACAATCAACAGTGTACCTAACCATTTACGTAATCAAAGCGCATTCATAAAACAATCACCATTTCGAAAAGTGACAAGACCAATCAAAGCAGTGTACCTAAATAGAGTACTGAAAACAATCACCATTTCATACTGAAAACAATCAACAGTGTACCTAACCATTTACGTAATCAAAACGCATTTAAGTAAAAAAAAAAGTCAGTGTACCTCAACAGAGTTGTGTTTCATCATCAAGTGATTGTAAGGTGTAGTCCATGTGCCTATTGGTAGCTCTTTGATAATAATTTTTGATCCACAAGCTTCAAACATTCCAGCAGTTTCTTAATAGAAAACCCCATCTTTTTCCTTTCTAGTAACATCTCCGTTAAAATACTTGTAGGAAGCTTTCATAGGTACCATTTCCATATGATTAATGAACCGCTTGATATTCTCAACAATATCTTGCACACTGAACTTCGGGATAGATGTACTRCATCCACTTCCAACTCCTTTACAGCCATTGACAAGTATCACTGGGATAGGGGGCAAGTACCTAACAGAGTTAACTATTGTTAGACTCTTAAAAGAACTTGAAATATGCTTTTGTTAATGAGATGTGCAAAAAYTTACCAAGTTGGCTCTATCCTGTTAATCCCGTCGCTAGTCAACCAATCGAGGAGGATATCATCTGAATCGGTAAACAACTTCCTTGTATGWCGACAGAGAGAAACAGAAATATATCTCGGTTGTGCATRGTCCCGTCMACCCTACAAGTAGATAAGYAAGACAATAAGAACTCTATATATTAATAACCTTGGGACAACAATAGTTATTAGTTTATCTAAAATCAATTAATAATGTTTCTAATATACTTACAAGATTCCGACTTCCAGATTGTCCATGTAAAGCAAAGAAGCTTAAATTGTTGCTTCCAACTTGATTTTGACCCATTTTGATAACAGTCTCACCGTGACGACACGCTGAGTGCTCCGACACATAACCGCAAAAGTCAGAGACTTTTTCGATCCAAGAACCATCTTTTTTTAATGCACAATATATGATCTTCCTCTAAGATGGTTTGAGACCATCAACTATTGACGGAATGGATCTACGAACACTCTCGTAGACGTATGATCGTACTTCAACATTCAAAAAGTCACGGAATCGTATAGTACTTCCAGAACGGTCAAGAATAGTTCCCTCCTAAATGTAAAAAGACATCAACCTCTTAAGGATAAAGAAGAGTGTTTAAAGATTATGGTAGATAACACACCATTAAAGCAAATAGAAGGTAGAGCAGATTACAAACACTTACAACTACTGATTTGGCAGATTCTCCTTCGGTAATTATTAGTGTGCATGACTTGGCATCGTCCGATCCCCTTAATGAAGCATGTACGATGCTATGGCCAACACGTTTTTCTCCCATTTCAGCTAACATAAATAACGAATAACAATAACAAAAAGTTAGGTCACCATATGAATTCTCTCTGCCAAAAAACAGGAACGATCAATAGAAACAGACATTAAGGGCTTCTAGTTTATGTTCATAATGACTCACTAGAACCCTAGATTTATACTTTGAATCCAGCAATTACAAATTCACAATCAACAGCGAAGGATTAGTTGGGTAGACCCCAAATCTAGAAATCTCGTAATGGATCCGAAATAGACCTACATTGTAGACATAGATTGAGAAGTTTAAGAGATTCAGAGAATCTCGACAAAAAACTAGGTCACACTCACCTCGATTCAGAGAGCAAAAGCAAAAGATCGAGCTGGGTTTCGGATCTTCCGCTTAGATGCGGAACAACTCTCTTGACTGACTGACTTAGAGCTATGGCGTTTCTCCAGAATTTTTCGTTTTGATAAATTCGAGTGGTTTAACTTTAAACTGGTTTACATACATCCAAATAAACGGCGCCAATTCTAACCGATATGGTTATTTTCGTCGATTTGGTTATTGTTTTTTATTTGATTTCATTACATTTGGTTTTTTGACAAGGGTTAATTTGCTAGGAAAAAAATTATAACTAAAAAGTGTCGAAAAGTTCTGCATCTAATGGCCATAATTGTGCCACATATACCATTATGCTTTGTTTTTGGGACAATTACAAAAATACAATTTTTGGTGTGCACATTGCAAAAATATCAAACTTGAGATTGTTTGGTGGATTTCGTGTTGTTTGGTTGGGTTTTTGTGCAGGATAGCAAGTACTATAAGTAATTCTCAAAACTATGTTTTGTGTTGATTGTTCTCACAGGTTCTAGTGAAGAAAGATTGTGTTAAAGTTTGCCTCGCAGGATCAAAAGCTGAAAATCTTCTTGAACAAAGGCGACATGGTTCTGGCAGTCAATAAGATGCGAGTTACATGCTTCAATGACATAGAAGCCATCTACCAAGATAAGGGTAACCATAGTGTCTAACAATTCTTCGACAGGTGACACCATTAACTTCTGTTTATTGATATATCTTATTGTTTATTTGTTGCTCTATTATCACCTTAGTAAATAATAATACATTTCACTATATGAACAGCACTGAGAAATTGTAAACCAAGAAAATGTTTTTTTACATACAAATACAATAATATATAAAAGTTAAATGCTAACAACTTAGATAATATAGATAGAAAATATTTGTTTTCGTTTGCATAATTAGATGATTTGACTTTTCAAAATATCATTAACTAATTATAACTAAATTTCGGAAATTTATCCATCATT